TTATATGGTCTATTTAGTAACTTTATTATTTAGAACATACCTACAAATTCTGCAGTGCTGGCCTCCTCTTCTGAGTTAAACCCTTTGTATCAGCTCAGAACGGTCAACTTACATCTTCCATGTGAATAATAAAGCTGAACTGCAAGCAAATTTAAAGAAATTCCCTAATAAATGCAGTTATGTATCAATGAAAATGGCATAAAATGTTTTTAGATGCAGTAGCAGTACTTGGAGCAATCAAGATTCTAGTAGTATACATGCACTGACCAGAAACATGCAACAGAGGAAGAGAGCAGAGAGATGACCCCATCAGTCTGCTACTGTTCCTTCCCTGTCAAGTGACAGACTGGGAGCAGGAAGATAACCAAGGTGTATTTTACAACTGCAGCCAAAAAAGGTCCGATTACAACCTGGCTGTGCTGTGTGATAGGTTGTGTAAATCCCTGGACTGGATGGATAGACCTACAAATCATTAGGCAGGTAAACCAGATTCCACATGTGTTTGATTGTGTATTTAGCTGTTTGCCTGGAGTTTAGATTTAAGATCATAGATGGGAAGAGAACAATTGAACTAATCCGTTGAACCGGAAAAAAAAAAAACAGTTTGACAGAGAATAAAAAATGGTGAAATTCCGGACCTTGACCAACCTCCTCTGACCCTCGGTTCACTTTATTGTGGGCTGCGTGCACGACTGCCCATACATATGAATGGGGTGCTGTGCCGCGTTTCCCGCAGGAAAAAGGTGTATGTACCTTTCAGAAGGTGTGCCTTTTTGACCATGTGGTTCCCGAAATTTTGATGTGGGCTGAGATGCGTGGGGGTGCCATGCAAAATGAATGGCTGCTCCATCTGTCTTGCAAAAGGAGCGCGATTCGGCTGCGGGAACCAGTGCGATTCCTGCACCCAAAACCAGCCCGCGGTGCAGCTCTCGGATCCTTCCATCTCTGAGGTCATAACCAATAATTGGCCCCACTGCTCTCTGCTCTGCATGGACCTTCAAGAAATGTAATCTTTCCTCTGCATCCTCCGCCCCTATACCCAATTTTAGGCAATCCTGCATTTATTCCAGGCACAGGCCAGGGCCCTTTCAGGGAACTCATGAACCACATCTTTCAAGCCTCCCTCTTCCTCCATCACAAGCAATACTTGCCTTTCCAACTAATCATTTGGAGAGCCACACAACTCAGCCATTTTTCCTTCTTATGTTACCTGCTCCCTTGGACTTCCAAATGCCTTTTACTCGCTTTGAATCCTGTGCAATTCACAGGAAACTCTTCAACATTCCTCATCTCTGAGGAGGACTACAGCCCTACATTTATGGCTAAGTGGGAAGAAGATCTTAAGACACTCTACTCAGCAAAGACATGTGATCCTCCACCTCACGCTAAAAAATCCTCCTTTTTGTACATGCCCTCCGGAAACTAACTTTAAGATCCTCACGTGGTAGTACAGAACACCTGCAAAACCTCACAGGTTGTTCCCTAACACTACAGATTTCTGCTGGAGATGTAAAGAGACTAAAGGCTTGATCATTTTGGTCTTGCCCACTATTACGGACTTTCTGGTCGGAGATTAGATCAATAACCTAGAAATTTACAGACTTCAGCGTTCCTGATTGTCCAGCGTTCTTCCTACTGCATCATTCCTTAATCCCTCAAGACATACAAGAAATCTGTGCTTCATCATCTGTTGAACACAGCCAAAGCTTGCATGCCCCTGAAATGGAAGGACCCTATCCACCCTCCATTTGCACTTTGGCTACACAAAGTAGAGGACTCCAATCGTATGGAAGACCTGATTTTTCTCGTTTTAAAACAAACATGAATCCTCTAAGAAAATATGGTTTCACTGCAGTTACTATATTTTTTCTGAAGAAGGCAAGGCACGACTAGCCTTTGGCGGGAGACGTCCCACCTACATAATTCATCATAACCAAAGGGAATGGCATGGTGATGTTTTTGGTTTTTGTTTTTCTCTTTTTACTTACATTTACATTCCTTTTTCAATAAAAAAATTATTGAATTTAGTACTAGATTTGTTTATACCAAAACAGATCTTTGTCTCTACCTCCTAGGAGGTTGGGATGTTTGTTTCACATTACATTTATGTTGTGTATTCTTGTGATGATTCCAATCTTGACTATGGAAGAGTGTCCCTTTCCTCTGTATGTACAAACCTCTATGTGTTTATAAATAAAATTTTTTAAAAAGGTTAAATTCCTTTTTGATTTTCCAAAGATCGGCCTGGAATATTGAAGCTCTTAAAGTAGCATTTTCCATAGATCGGCCTGGTATATTGAGGGTATTAAACTAAACAGCTGAAATGTGTATGTGGCCATTATTAAGCAGATTAATAATAAATTCTTCCGTTACAGGGGGCAATACATACATACAGTTATCAAGCACCACTACTTTAATAGCAGACAAGTTTCGATAGAACTAGGCATTAAAAAGGGTGTTAGGTGCCATCTATGATTATCTGGGTTGTCTCTCTGCAGGTGGCTCCACTAGTGTCAAGTAATCTTGCAGACATAGGTCCAGAATGCTGGAGGAATACTGCAGAAGCAGTGTGAGGGCTACTAAAATTTTTTTGTGGTTGTCAGCAAGTTGCAAGAGTAGATGTGCCATGTTCGGCACTGGTACTGTGGCAGCACCCAGATATTGCAGAGTTCCCCTTTAAAATGTACCATTTCTAACAGTATTTGTTTGCAAAGCAAGGTTTTTAGCTCACTTCCCCCCTCCCTTATTTCCTGTAAAGTAATGTGTACCAGCCTGTAGCTAGCACCCTTATCTGGAGCTGGAATTCAAGGATATATTCTGCAGAGTTTAGAAAGTGTTTTGAATGTATAGAAAGTGAAAGAGGAAAAATATGCATTGTGACGTAATCCATTGCTATATACGCTTGTAAGAAGTGGATACAACTCACTTGGCTTTGCAGGCATGAGCCCGGCTGGGTCAAACAGCACTGTTTTTTTAATAAATCACTTGTTTTCCTCAAGGTCTGTGTCTGGAGTTTCCTGGTTTTCCAAAATTGCTACTACAGTACCAGCACATGGAGCATGTAAAGTCCAAAAATATTTATTTTAGTTTTGGAGACAGAATGGCTAAGTCCCTCATCTGGATTTTTGCTGTCTGTGTCTCACCTGGAAGATTTCGCTTTGCTTCCTGTTCCAGAGATACAGCAGGAAGTAAGAGAAGATCTCTCGAAAGCTATGGGGTGTCCCTTCTTAGACTATTGTCACCAGGACAGCTTTCCTCATTGGAAGATTTCACCCAGCCTCCTTTTCCTGCAAAACACAATATTTGGATCACTTTGTGTTCAGTTGATAATGATCAACTGAACGGACCACTATTGAGCATAAAGCACTTCTGTAAGGACACAGACAGCAAAGTATTTTCAAAACTAAAAATAATAAAGTTTTGGCTTTATACCTGTTAATCCCTAAGGACTGTACCAAACTGATCCTTCATGCTGGAAAATTATCATCGTCCATTTGTAACAAACTGTCAAGCTTTTGTACCTGAACATTGTCTTGAACCTTACATTTTAGTAAACATTAGTCTCCAGTGTTTGTTTTATACTTTCAAACACTTTTTTTTTTTAAGACCTGTTTTACTGTTATCTGCCTTACTACCTCAAGTATCAGCTACTCTTTGTGTAAAATAATACTTTAAGGGAAACTTTCCTTCATCTAGTTTGTTTCATACCTCTCAGGGGATTGATGAAATCTTTGCCCTGATATTCCGAGACAGGACACCTACGGTATACCTGCTGTGCCCATTAAGAGGGTCTCCCATTCTGCCCCTTTTGATTATATAAATATTTTATACTCTAGAAAATGTAATGGGAGGAGCTGGGACACATTAATAACCCAGTTAGAATTGGCAAGGAGATTTGTCCCTGAAGTATCCAAGACATACAAGAACCCAGGTAAGGGTTTGGCCCAGCCAGGCTCCACCTACAACTAAAATATTACATTTGGGTAGACTTGCCCTTTAGGTCCTGGCATCTGTAATGCAGTGCAGTAAAAAATGCTTACTGCATCTTTGATGCACTTTTCACGAAAACACGTCATAACGGTAACCTGCCTAAAGCAAATCGCAGAAATGTGAACCGGTCTATAGATGTACAGTTGCTAAACCAGGGATACGCCTTCCTGTGCAAAAAACCAAAGCTCATTGCTGGGAATGTGATATGCCCAGGGGCGGACTGACCATTTGGAAACTCGGGCACTGTCCGAGGGCCTGGGGTCAGTAGGGGGCCCCCATGAGATGCCCCTGGTACCTTTTTCATAGGCTTTTTTGAGTTTGGGCAAGGACACAGGGGCCCCATGATCCCCTATTGCCCAGGGGCCCCATGAGTTGTCAGTCCACCCCTGAATATGCCATGCATCAGGCCGCCTGTAATTTGACTTCAAGTTCTAACTTCTCAGAGAGGCACTAAACCAATTATGAAAGGTCAGTGGAGGGGGATAAGTATGTTTAAAAGTACTTTTGGTTGCAAGAAATAGAAATTTTATATTGTCCAGGCACGTTTAAAAATTGTTGCTATCCTCTGCTTTCAATTGAAATGTCACTGCCATGAAATGCAAAATGTTTTGCATAAAATATATAAATATATTATTTTTTTTTTTTTTTATTTATTTATTTTTTTTTACACTGGAGTTTCCCTCTAATAAAATCTGTGAAATGCAGGGAGGAGATTGATGGGCGCACAGCAGAGTGCAGTGTATGAGAAGGGGGGAGGGGTAGAGAGGAATACTGAAGATGGAGGGGAGGAGGAGAATGGTCCTCACGTGTCTCTATGTTAATACTGGATCTCCCCACACGCACACACTGCAGATCCAGCATCCCTGTGCACACACATCTCTGCACTACACCCCGATGGTGACAGGCATACAAAGGACCCGGGCTGATGTCCACTGTAGCCGTGCTGAGTGTCAGGCTGCCTGCTGTCCCTCTCCTGTCCCCTTTCCCCGGGGCTGATTGGTTATGTATGAATGATGCGTCTAGAGCTGCTCTGGGTTGTAGCTGCTGTGATCTTTGCCATGTCTGAGCTGGGTAAGTATGATGCTGCAGGAGATGGGTGGGCAACCTGCCATCCTCTCCATCACTGCCTGAGACTTGAATGTGTCATCTCTGCCCCAGTTACCCCAATCTTTCCACCCCCGGTATGGCCATCTGCTGTGTTTCCTGCTGCAACTCTGCTTGTGTCACACATCATCTTCAATTCCCAACATTTCCATCCTTCACTTATGATCAATAGGGAGATTCTCTGCTTCCCATCTTTTCTCTACTGCTCTCCATGCATCAATTACTCCTTCTCTGCATCCATCCTCCAGCTCCTCTTGATACCTGCCATTCTGGAGCGATCCAATCTCCCCCCTATCCCCCCGACCCTCTATCCAGAACTTCCAGACCTGATGGTTCTCTGTACCCTAATTGCCAGGGCCAACATTTTCCTGTACCCTGAGTTCCCAGGAGCACCGTCTCTCTGTAGCCATAGCTTCCACTGTCTATGTACCCCTAATTTCTAGGCCCACCCTCTCTCTGTACTTCTAACATCCAGACCCACAGTTTCTTTGTAACCCTAATTCCAAGGCTCGCCATTTTCCTGTACCCCTAATTCCAAGGCACACCATCTCTATACCCGTAGCTTTCACTGTCTTTCTGTACCCCTAATTTCCAGTCCCACCATCTCTATGTACCTCCAACATCTAGATCCATGTTTTCTTAGTTCCCCTAATTTCTAGGCCTACCATCTCCTTGCTACTGTAATTCCTAGACTGCTATCTGATCCCAGACCTTACCTATCTTTGAAACTCCCAATTCCTACATCGAACTTCTGCTACCTAATTTCCTGGCCCACTATCTTCCATACCTCTAATTCCAAGACCTACTATCTTCTGTACCCCCAAACCCCCAGCCTAATTATCTCCTTGCAACCCCAATTCCTAGCTATATCTCACAGACTCTAATTCCCAAATCTTCCATTTTCCTGTTCCTAACCTTCTGTCTTCCTGTAGCACCTTACAACCTTAAAAAGTTATTCCTTTCCCGTAGCCCTCATTCTTAGACCACTTCTTGGTGCTCAAGTTCTCTTGTACACTTCTAAATCTCATGCCTTAGCCTCTTATCCCTGTGTACACTTCTCTTAACGCCTCATTGCCCCCCTTATTCCCAGACCTCCATTTTTTTTTCTTTTGCCCCTGATCACTCCCCTCCCCACTGTTTTCTAGCCGCACCCTCCCTGTACCCCAAATTCCTCTACCTTTTTAACCAGTTTTCTATCTTGTCTCTGCATCCAAATTCCCCTTTAGGAATAAAATACAGTCTGTGTGATTGCTGATTTAGCTCAACCCAACCCTGAATGATTCTTGACCTATGCCACCCCCTACCTATGTATCCCAGATTTTTCACCCTGTAACCAATTCCTTTCTACCCTGGAATCGTCTCTTTATGCATCTCATGGGCTCCTCTGCTTCCTTCCCCTGTACCCCACATCCCTGCATTACACCAGTTTGTTCATCTGTCATACGCTATCACCCCCCCCCCCCCCTTGTTCGGTATAATTACTTGATCGCTGTGCATGGGTGACTCTCTAGTTAATCTGTAGTTCTTGTCTTTGCATGAGATGACCTGCACTGAGTCAATAAGGGTTAAAAATCATAGACACCCCCCCCCCCTTCCGATTTGGTAATTTGGTGGGGGCAACGCTAGGCCAGCATGCAGGAGGTATGAAAAGAGCAGCGTATTCTGCACGGTTAAACCCTTGGCAGGTGCTCAGGGTTGCCCTAGAAGCAGGTGTTCAGCTGCGATCATTCCTGGAAGGAGCAGGACTCCCCTTCCTCCTTTCACGCATTCTGTAACATCAACAGATATACTGCAATGCATCAGGTAGATCTGTGCAATGCTGGGAGGAGGGAAGAGAGAGGTAGCTGATTAGAGGAGCGGGGTGGCGGCTTGTTAGAAGAGAGAGGTCAACCTACTGGCTCTCCTGGGATAGCAAGTGATTGGTGGAAGTACAGGCTGCAATGGTCATCAGATTTGGTAGCCGAACAGGTGCTCTTACCATTGATCTCTGGTCTGCAACACATGTATTTACATCTGTCTGTAGCTGTTATTCTGCATCATCCTTCTGTTGCTCCCTACTCTTCCATTGCTCCAATTCGCTTTTTGCCGTCCTATAATTATTCTTGATCATATGTGTCTTTGTTTGTTTTTTTTTTTTTTGCAATGCAAATGTTTTGTGCCGCCGTTCTTTTACAATCGTTATATTGCAAATGTTTTATATGAAGCCTGTCATGAGAGGAGTGCTCTCATGGATGCTGCCTTTGCTTTTTTCCCCTCTATTGCTGTATACCTGGTAGCTATATGGATCCTCCTGCCATTAGCTTGTTCAGTCACTGGCAGAACAGGAGGCCTCACTTCCCTCTGACTCTAGGCTTAGACTTGTTGCAGGTTAGTGATTCAGTATTGAAGCCAAAGAGCCTTTTGTTGTTTTTAGGAGGTTGACAATGACAGTATTTTATGCGTATGTAAAAAGCAAAAGAAAAGAGAAGCGGTACATCTTTGCAAAATATGCAAATTAGCCAGTGCATTTTCCCTTTAAAGACCCTGCAAGTATAGAAAGGTAGCTGGTGGTCTTCCAGAAACGCACTCTGTTCCTAATTCCTGTTATGGACTGAGAACGCACAGCATTTTTGTGGACAGGTTGTTGTCCAACATGCTCAGTGTTCTTGCTTATGACTCAACCACTTCCACAGTCAGATCTTTACAACATAAATGCTAATCATTTTGTAGTACAAGATGAGAACTAAACTGCTGGGCAGTGTATTCTGGCAGCGGAGGAGTCCCACTGCCAGAATACAATAGAGCAGCAGGGTAATTCCCTCATCCACTTTGAATGTGTGGATGGGGGAATCTGTTCGCTTTTTTATTTTCATCAGCCAGCTGGCTGATCCAAAACAAAAGACGCAGCAATTCTACGTTATTGTGTGGACATTCCTTCCTTGAAATATAAAGGCCAAAGACCAGCATTGTCATGTGGAGGCCTCTGGTACAGAGTGGGGCACACTATGGTGGACGGTCCAACTTCAGCAGGAGAGATGGTGTTCTAGCAGGACTGGAGCTGGGACTTGTGCTTTTGGCGTCAGTTCCAGCCAATCACAAATCTCCTCTTACAAGTGTCTTGGAAAATGCATAATATATTCCTATTAAAGAAACTGATTGGCCATAAAGTGAGGTGTGTTGGAATCTTTCGTTCCACAGTTGGTAAGGTTGAATAAAAACACCAGTCCATCCAGTTCAATCTGTGTGGGTGTGTGCGTATTTACGGTATGTGTCTATCACTTCCCATATCCCTATATATTGTTTTCAATAAGATGCCCATCTAAGAATTTTTTTTTTTTTAAACTAGGGACACTTTCTGCTGAAACCACCAATTGTGGAAGGGTGTTCCACATCCCTAACGTTCCAATTGTAAAAAAAAAAACCCTTATGCCGTTTAAGATCAAACCTCGAGGGGATTGTCTTTATTGACTATTTCAGGTTAGCATGACCATTGAGCAGTCCTAAGGTCATTCAGCCTCCTGCATAGCTCCCCACCACCATATGAAGTAAAGCCAGAAAACTTGGCTGGACATTTTAGGCTAGTAACTTATTCTTTGCCTAGTTGAAGAGAAGTATTGCAGAGTTTCAGATAAATGAAAGAAGTCATTCTGAAGAAATAAAGCACCGTAAAGAGTTCCCACGCCCCTAGCTTGCTATAGAGAATAGATATAGTAGGAAATTCAGAAGCGTTTCCAGCATTGTATGTTTGACCAATTTCTCAACTGAACAAGAACATTGTAGCTCTTCATTTTCGGGTTCTATGGAAAAGATACAGTATCTTAACCGACAAGATTCTTTTGTTGTGTGTGAGTAATCTGTTCAGGGCTGTTGTGTGCAGTCTCATATATTGTCTTCAAATGTAATGTGAGCATACTAAAAGTCATACACATCTGGAATATTTGCAGATATTAGGAGCTGTGTGAGGCCAGTTCATAAAAAAAACAAACAAAAAAAAAAGTCAGATATAATGCTGTGAAAATTACAGTTGAAGTAGGTTGTTACCTCAAGATAGGAGTTGTATACTTTGAAGATATCCTTTTGGAAGCAACCAATGCTAGCTTGTGTTTGACGGTGCAGTTTTTTCGGGTGGTCATTCTCATCTCTGCTATATTTTTTTTTTTTTTTTTTTTTTTTTTTTTAGAGAATTTCTAACAGAGGACAGGTATGCAAGCTGTGAACCCAATTAGCAGCTGACATTGGTATTTTCACTGTACTGTTACTGTTATACAGCCTTTCTGAACTGGGGGTGCCTTGAGTAATTGGCAATTTCTGCCCCTCCAGTAAGTAACCACTGACAACCGTGATCATTTTAACAACTGTTAAGCCTGATGCACAATGGATGTTTACAAGTTCCTGGGTCTTAAAGTGGAACATTTTTGGAGCATTCCTGCACCCGGGGAGCTAATGCATCAGTGTTTACCTGCACATGCTTGGTTAAGTGCCTATGCAGATGCCTTTGGGGTTTACACACACCTGACTGCACACAGTCATTCACTTGTATTGGTGGTCTCATGTGGCACTGTGCTTGTTGGACATTTTGCACTTCAAGAATTAGGAGCATGTAGACATCCGTGTGCGTGAGGCCTGAAAGGAGGACGGGATTCTTTCCAAGGAATACAAATATAAGGAGCATTCTTCCCAGTGACCATCACACTAATGTACTCTGAACTGTAGGTTTAGTAATCACTACCGTGGCTTCCCGTAGACCAGAATGTTATTTCAAGGATTCCTCTGTAATATATAAAGGGATACTGTAAGATTTAGATATTTGGTGTTTGCAGTGGTTGTGCCCATTCTGCATACTCTACTCTTCCTCCGAGTTATGAATCGATGGATATTTTATCCAAGTGTGACTTAGCCTTGCAGAATGCCCCCTTAGAATCCTCAAACATATGAAGCTCCCGTATGCAAATACCGACCCCTGGCTTTGTTATTGGTCCATTGCTGTAACGGGTGATGGCAATAGGCACTAGCAAGGCACAAACAGGCAGAACAAATCCCAAACTTCCTTGGTAGTTGGAGGAATACAAGAATATACATGTATACAAGAGCTTTGCAGGTCCCAGGGCCCATGTGGGTAATGTGCAGGCAGCTGAAGGTGCATGCATCCATTTTACTAGAAGGTATGTGCACAGCTGGATTTAAATAAAAAGGAATTCTGGTCCTAACTGAAGGTATTGTTTGAAATGGAGAGCTGTAGATATGGGAGCCGTGGTTGCAATATGCCTTTCCCACTCTCCCCTCGGCTAGTCTGGGGTTGTGATGTTGCTCGGTATTGGCATCCTCGGACCCCTGCTCTTGGTCTTGTTATCTTTTTCCTTTTGTACTTCTCCTTCCTTTTTCTTTTTTTTTTTTGTTTGTTTTTGGTGTGATAGTGGATAGCTGCCTTTGGTTTGGGTTACTGTTGGTGTTATACCAATGTTTTTGTCATTTATGTGCCATTGATAGCACCTGCGTGGGCGCACCTTTTGCTCTGTTGGTGTTAGAGCACTGGGGTTTTTTTTTGGGGTTTTTTTTTATGTGCAATTGATAGCCCCTGCATGGGAGTGTTTTGTTGCTCCTGTCTTCTTAAACTGTTTATAAATTAATAAAAACATTGAAATACAAAATGAAGAGCTGTAGAAACAACTGAACCTATTTAATGGATCAGAAGACCGCAGTTCTTTCCTCATTCCTGGTAAAATATACTGTAAGAGAGGGACAGTGCTATGAGCCAATCATTGTTGTTGCATGAAAATGTGCTGAAACAGACCATGCTGATAGGTGGAGAAAGCAAATTGAGCAAAGAGGTGACCTCATCAGCGTGCTGCTTCTCCTTCACTACCCAGTCACAGGCTTGGAATGGAGAGAAGACAACACTTTTTTGATACTTCGCTACGACACATAAAATGGTTTCATCACCTGTTACTGCTGTTTGGTAAGGATGTGTAGGTTTCAGGCTTTAATGGGCATGAATGCAAATTCTTTGGCATATAAAAAGCTCCCTTCTACATACAGTATATATTTTATCAGTGTGTAGATAGCGGTTTACCTGAAGTACAGCTTTAAGGGTGGATTCCAGAGTTTAGAATCCCCCACTGACTCCTTATGAATTCTGTGGATTGGAGGGGTGAGATCTCTGCTCCTGAGCTATCAAGACCACCCTCCTGCAGTGGCCTTTATATTGTAGCCCTGCACTCCGAATGAGTTTTTAAAATTGATTTTAAAGTACTGAGACTGCAGCAGAAGTGGTGACACTCCATGGTGGGGTATGGAAGAACAGGAACTCCGGCAAGGAGGTCTCACTGCAGGCGTCTCAAAACAAGAAGCCAGTGAGCAAATCCATCTACATGTGTATACCCATCAATAATAACTGCCCTGGTTTTCCTTCCCTTTTAATGCATTGCAGCTCACCTTACATGTTACAATCGGATGGTGCAAAACACCATGCAACATTAAAGAATACAGCAATGAGGCAACATTGAATGGGGTGATAACTTAAGCCCAGGGGCGGACTGACAACTCATGGGGCCCCCAGAGGGGATCATGGGGCCCCTTGCCCCCACACTCAAAGCACACCCACAAAAGCCTATAAAAGGTACCAGGGGCATTTCATGGGGCCCCCTACTAACCGCGGGCCCTCGGGCAGTGCCAGAGTGCTCGAATGGTCAGTCCGCCCCTGCTTAAGCCCTCACATTAAACAGTTTAGTAAATCTGAAAAGGGCTGTACAAAGATTGTTCTGTTGCAAAGAATTACAACTTGTATGGCCAGTTTTAGGCTGATGAAAGAGGGCTGGATGGATGATACAGAATGGTGAATAAATTCAACACCATCCCTAAAATATTCCACAAGTTTTGATGACCATTTAAGTTGAACTCTGGACTGTTATTTTAGGTATTTGTGGTTTGTGTTTCATATTCGATAAGAAATGTCTGTTGTTACAGTATCTCACTCTGTGCTTTCTATATCAGGGTTTCCTCTGGAGAACTCTTCATTCCCTACTGACACTGCTCAGCCTGAAAACATCACTCAATGGCACCAGACCCTGGAACTTCCCCAAGTCACCTACCCTAGCAGGTTGGTTGGGCAGACCTTGGGATCCGAGACCCCCAGATATCAACTGGACACCCGAGTCCGAAATGAGACCAGTCCTAATTTGGTAAGTGTTTATTGACCTAGTACATTGCAGAATGCTATCAATATCTTGCTTTTGTTTTGATTTCTGGATCACAGGGAAGGTATATGTGGACTTTTTAGTTATGTCTGAATCTGGCTGTGGCATAGTCTCTGATGGTCTCCTGTGACCAGACCCTGAAAGTCTCGTGACGATTTGGCAGTCTCTTGTGACAATCTGACAATCTCTGGTGGTCTTTTGTGACTTGTTGGCAGTCATTTGGAAATTTCTATGATGCGTTGGTAATCTCTGGTGGTCTCTTGTGATATGTTGGCAATATCTGATGGTCTTTTGTTAAACTGAGGCAGTGTCTCACAGTTGAATGCATAACTGGGTTAAATGGTGTTGTTTATGCACTTGGAGTCCAGCTTTACTTTATATTGTGCAACAGATTCCATATAGAGCGCATTGACTATCAGTTGTCCCTGCATTAAAGGAGCTTACCTTCATAAACCAAGTCCTAAAAGTACACTGAAACACACTTTTTAGGGCCATTGGGTCAGAAGTCCGTTTGCCAACCCATATGTTCCCTTCGTCTGCTTTGGCACCGTGTCACCTGTGTGATCAGAGACACAAGAGCTGTTTATTAAAAAAAAAATGTAAGCGGTTAAAAAAAGTTTGTTACCCCAGCAACAGGTGAAGTATTTGCTTTCACCATTTGACTTGCAGTATAAAAACATACGATCTGGAATTGCTATGGACAATACCTCCCTTTACTTTGAATTAAGAGTCGGCCTTCGTGAAACCACTTTCCTATCTTCACTATAAGGATTCTTATACTTGCTGAAATTGGCCACATGTTGCTATTTGATTGGATTTACCAAAAGGCTGCCCAGAGACATAAGACCATGTGTGTCAGACATGGTGATGTTTTGTCTATGAAAGATTGTATTGCATATCGCCTGCTTCTTCAAAACCACTGTCTATGGGTAGCCAATTTATTACAAAGGCCTACCTGATTAAATATCAATGGAACCTCTAAGCGCTGGACAACGCAGCAGGTATGCACTTATGGGACCTCGGTGCAGAGATTCCCAAGAGATATAAGTAACTGCCAGATGGTGACCCTCTCCAGCATCTCCAGCATCTACTAAAAACAAAATGTCAGATTTGTGTGTTCATGCTAGCTGTGCTGACAACAACCCAATGTAGGTGAGAGTCAGATGGCCTCCTAAAGGAACAGTCTACCTAAATGTGTAATTTGTTATAAAATTCAAAATACTAACCACAGCTTACAAAGCCATCCACAACACTGCCCCTAGCTACATCGCCAACCTCATCCGCAGATATCGCCCACTCCGCTCCTCCCATGATATCTTCCTCTCTAGCTCCCTCATCACCTCTTCCCACGCTCGCCTCCAGGACTTCTGCAGAGCTTCTCCCATCCTCTAAAACTCCCTACCACAGTATGTCCGGTCAGTCCCCACCCTGTCTGCCTTTAGGCGATCTTTGAAAACTCACTTGTTCAGGGAAGCCTACCCCACCTCCACCTAAGAACTGTACTTGAATTGCCTCCATCTCCCCCGCAGCTATCACCTTTTGTATTACCTCCCCCTTCCTTTAGATTGTAAGCTCCACGAGCTGGGCCTTCTGTACTGAACTGAATTGTTGCTGTATTGTCTCCCTTAAAGCGCTGCGCAAACTGTTGGCGCTATATATAAATCCTGTATAATAATAATAATAATCCATGGAAATTGTTGACTTTTTTTTTTTTTTATGTATTTGAACAATAGCTCTTCATTCAAACAATGTCTCTGCAGAGAAAAGTAACATACAAAACACAAGGAGAATTTTGAAATGACTAATAGACAATTGCATAATCGCCCATCATTCTTTGATATCGTAACATTTTTAACCACTTGCACAAATCTGTCAGTTGCAAAAATGTTGTTTTTTTTTTTTTTTCACAACATTTTAATGGGATTTAAATCAGGGCTTTGACTGATCCAGTTCATTACGTTGGTGGATTTCCTAGTGAGTTTTGGATCATTATCTTGTTGAAAGATCCATTTCTGGTTCATCCTTTCGCTTTTGAAAAGGTGGCCTTGTATTCTTAAGCACTCTTTAGTATGATTTTTTTTTTTTTTTTTTTTTTAGTTGACTGCAAGCTGCCCTAAACTATAATATATTCACCACCATGCTTCAGTTCCTATAAGGATTTTCTCTGGAAGTGTTTTCTTCCAATTATGACAAACATGCCTACTGTAATGCAGGCCATAGACGGGTCGTTTATCGGCTGAATTTTCGTCCGCACAAAAAATCAGCCAATATTCACGCCATTAGCGGGGCCAGCTTCGTCGGCCGTTTTTCACGGATCTCCTCATTTATTTTTATCGGTCATGCTGGAAAATCTGCGAAAAATGGCCGTTTTACATGGACATTGGTGGCAGCAACGGGGGGGGGCCGACCAATTTTTCGTTTATCGGCCCTGTCTATGGCCTGCCTTTCTGTGGCCGAACAAACTTTCATTCGTCAACAGCACATTGTTCCAGAAGGCCTGGTATTTTCCAAAGTATTTGTGTTCAGTGGCAAAGTGTAGACTGGCTTTGAAGTTTTTTGACAGCAAAAGGTTTTTCCTGGTGCACCTCCCTATGTAGGTTAATTTGAGGCAATTTATTTCTGATTGTAGATTGCCTGCATTTTGACACCAACTGTTAGCGTTTTGTTGAACGTTTGGCATCAAACAGTCATTTTTTGCTAAATTTGCTGTGCCAGCCAGTCCGGGACAAATTAGCAGTCCTTTTAAAATCTGTCATTAGATTATATTCTTTACAGCACAATTATTGATTTTTAATAATAATTGAAATACCTTGCCAGACGTGTAGGCATTCACAACCTCCTATCTGAGGGCTTTTAGCAAGCTCTTTTGAACCTGGTATGAGGACACCACACACATCAATAGCAAAGAGAACAGCAAACCCTAGATGTCTGAGGTTTAATTAACACAGATTGCGCCTTTTATTCTCTGTAAGGAGGTTCAACCTAATGGCACCGAACACCCGATCCTTATTTCAAGGATTTTACCCCCCCCCCCCCCCCCCTGTTTTTCTGCCTGCTCTATACGTCGTACGGACCTGATACCAGGACTGGGTGTCTGCTTTCAGAAAAAAAATATGTTTTGGGGATTTTGTGCAATCTTCAGGGCTAAATTGATTTTTTTTTTAGTGTGTGCAATAAAAAAATTGCATAAACATCTTTGGTATCGAAAGGGTTAAAGTTGATCTCCAAGTTTCATTTAGCCCTGGTTCACACTGATGTGGTGCGGAATTCGCAGCGTTTTCTGTGCGAATTCAGCACTGCATCAGAATCGCACCCCGTTCATGCGAACCGATGCACCCCGAAAGCGGTCCGCTAAATGCGGTGTGATGTGCAGAATCGGATCACATAGGTGTGAATACCCATGGGATCCGATTTTAGTGCGGATCAAAAAAGGATCCTGCAGCTTTTTGTTGCGGTGCGATTAGAGCCATACAAAATGTACGGCTCCAATCGCACCGCACACAAATCCCATGTGATTTGCACAGGAATGCAGTGCGGTTCCTGTGCCAATCACATGCAATATGCCACATCACATAAATGTGAACTCAGGCTTCAACTTAAATATTTAATTTGGTCCATTCCTCTGATTGGCTGAGGCTGAGTTCATGTGGTGTCATCAGCCAATCTCCTCTGCACCTCAGGGGGCAATCAGAAAAAATCTTTGTGTTCATTCACGGAATACAGAGCTTCCTCTGAATGGCTGAGTAGTGCTTGGATTTTGTGGTGGGAGCAGGATTGGAGGTTCTCGTCATGCTGCCGGAACAGAGCACTGTATACTGTACGCAGATGAGGCTACACACAGTTCATACAGCGCTCCCAGCCATTGTAACTCTTTAGTGAACTAAATAGTTTGCTTGGACCAGCTTGGTCCAAACAAACTACTTAAAGTGTTACTAAACCCACAACAGTAAAATCAGTCTGTATATGCAGGAAAGCATGCTTGTTATACTCACTGTGGAACCTAAGGGGTTAGTCCTCCACACTGTTTGATCCTGTCTTCTCTGATTCTCCCCTTCTTCTACTGTCCCAAGTCCATCTGCTGATCGTACCGAGCTCTAGGAGTCACTCTGCACATGTGCAGTTTAGTGTGTATGGTTAGAGAGTTTTTTTTTTTTTTTTTTTTTTCGGAGGGTGCATGTGATCAGCACAGGGCCAATCAGCACTGTCCAGACAGAGGGTCGGGGGTTTTGCAGCCTTATAGGACAGTCAGAGCAGAATGAAAACCCCTCCTACCAGCTTTAGCCAGTGCTTAGCTGGACACTGATAGAAGTCACAAGACTGCTATATACTGCTGATGAGAAAAGGTATTTAGCAGTTTATATTTACTAAAATAATTGCATTTCCATGTTGTGTGTACTGTGGGAGACCAGATATAGTGAGTGCAGGGTCCGGGGAGACCAGATATAGTAATGCAGTGAACCGGATATAGTGAGTGCAGGGTCCGGGGAGACCGGATATAGTGAGTGCAGTGCAGGAGTGCAGGGTCGGGGAGAGACCCGGGGATATAGTGAGTGCAGGGTCCGGGAAGACCCGGGGAGACCAGATATAGTGAATGCATGGGGAGACAGTGAATGCAGGGTCCGGGGAGACCAGATATAGTGAATGCAGGGTCCGGGGAGACCGGGGATATAGTGAGTGCTGGGACCGGGAGACCAGATATAGTGAATGCAAGGTCCGGGGAGAGACCGGATATAGTGAATGCAGGGTCCGGGGAGAGCGAATATAGTGAATGCGGGGTCCGGGGAGACCATATATAGTGAATGCAGGGTCCGGGGAGACCAGATATAGTGAATGCGGGGTCCGGGGAGACCATATATAGTGAATGCAGGGTCCGGGGAGACCGGATATAGTGAGTGCAGGGACCGGGGAGACCAGATATAGTGAATGCAGGGTCCGGGGAGACCGGATATAGTGAGTGCAGGGTCCGGGGAGACCGGATATAGTGA